GCTTCTAACTCCACCCCACCCCACACCCCAGCTCTCATCCCGGCCATCAGATGCTCGTCCGGACTTCCCTCCACAAAGACCTGGCGACCGCCACTCGGCCCCTGGAGTGGTCGATCCCACCAGATGGGTAGCAATGATGGCGACTTCGATATTTGACTCCAATGTCTTATTCAAGTCCAAAAGTCCAAGACCTACACTTCGGGTCCGGGACCATCCTCGAATTTGAAGATGTACCCCACGGAAGAGAGGAATAAGCTATATCTAATCTAAACATATCTAAACCTCGGTGCTTTGGTCAGGCTGTTTGTGTCCAAGGGCTCTATGACTCTAGGATTGATGCATGGACAGGGGCTGCCAATCATTTGCTCTTCATATAATGTCGACCATGACATTGGAATATTCTGTGGGATAGGTGGGTGATCATGGTGGCTCCCGTGTTTTGGTGGAAAAATAGGTTGGAATCCCCAGGTCCTGCCAAATCAGCATGTGACTACAGAAAGTAACAGTCCTTGATATTGATGTTCCAGAAAACTATGCGCAATCTGAAAGGGAGCAGCCTGTTGACTTGCTCGCTTGCTCCACCCAACATGTCTTGATCTGACAAAGAGCAGTTATTTGGAATGTTCTGAACATCAGAAAAGAATTCCCAGGACTTGGTGTCTCCCAGCTAGTCTAGTGCAGAATGTCATCCATCAACCGCTGCCAAGGAAGGAAATTCGCTGTACCAACACATGAAACACCCTTCTCTGAATGAGTCGGTCAGCCATAGTGGATAGTAACTCATTACTACCTTGGCTGCTCACCATTGGCTGCATGTCTACTCCAAGGTCGAGTTTGGCCAAGCTCTGAACTCTGAACGCACGGATGTTCTGCCGATTTCTGCAGGTCCATCGCTGCGATTTCTGCAGCATCCTGAGGGATCGCATCGTTTTGTGTCCATCTACCTTCTTTCTGGCAGATTTGGGACGTGCGTTATCTGCCCTGTAGGGTGTTCGAAATGAACTGATGCTTCACATTGTGATTGAAATGCCAAACATTCAAACGGCACAACAAAGGGAAAATCTCTCATCTTGAGACACCCACAGGGACTCATCCAGGTCAATTTTCAGCCTGGACTCATCATGAGCGGCCGCTTTTGCGGTTGGCACCGGGGGTCTTTGTCTCTGGCACCGGTGTCTCCAAGTCTCCAGAACTGGGTTTGCAGCGAAATGGGGGGGTGTTCGCTTTGGGTGACCAAGGCGGGGAGATGTGGGGTGTTCCCCACAAGTATGAAAGTACAATAGGTATAAAAGCTGTACTTTGTAAAACATATGTATAATTACTTGCTATACTTGAACATCTTGGCCTTTTGCTGGGAGAGAACCGTACGTGTATTAGCAACCTTGTGGGAGGAAGTGAGGCCCCGTCCTGAAGATGCCCAGAAGGTGCACATACATGAACTTCCTCAAACTATGCGAAAAAAAAACTGAATAAATAAAGACAAGCTATAGTAGTTCTCAGTTATCAGCTCAACAAATTGTGGGCAGAGAGTCTCGGTAGTTTCAACGCTCGGGCTTGGGTCCTTCAGACATGGTCCAACGGTCACTCTTCCCTTGATGGTTGCTCTTTGAGGTCGGTCTGTAGGCGTCAAAGATTCGAAAGAGTCCTGGCTTCAACAAAAGCCTATGACAGCTGGTGCTCCACGAAAACCAACAGAAACTAGCTCAGCTCAACAAACTCTTTCAGCTTAAACTATTGTTGAGCTACGTCGTTCTTCCGCATGGGACATCCTGTAGTGTTGGGGTATGAAGCACTTATAGCTGGTGCATCGTTTGGGAGGGCCATGGTTTTGGGCATCGTTTCATCCAAAGCCCCTGTGACTCCATTCGTCTCAGTGTTCGGTTCGGGGTCAGCGAGGGTCATCCCGAACCTGATTTGGTCCAAAATGGCACGAATCGTCCAGCGTCAAAAGTCTTCAACCTCCTTTTCTGAAGGGTTGCTCCGGATCTATTTGAATGATTTTCGATGTGAAATTCTTATCCGTCTACCCCTAGGATTAAAACGGACCATTCGTTAGTTTCTTTCGGGTCTTTACAGATTTGCCTTCTGACATGTCACATTTGGCTTCGAAAACCTCTTCGGCGTCGGAGCCTCACCGGTTCGTTCCCGTGGAGCCCGCGGGGCCGGCGGAGCCGTCATGGCGCCGTCATCCGTCCAGGCGCCGCCGGGGGTTGGGCCGGGGGGCTCGGGCGCGCAGCGCCGGGCTTGGGCACCACGGGGTTGACTCGGACGCGGCGGAAGGGAGATCACAAGCTGGTGTAGAGAAGACAGGTGCAAATGCAAGAGATCTCTTGTTGGTCTTTGGCACTTTCAAGTGGATTGTATCATACTTGAGGAACACATTGTCCTCAAGTCAACCTGTCAAAAGAATCACTCAATTACGGCATAGGAACATCAACAAGCCCCTACATGCTTTCCTGGGCTCATAAGGGAACGAGCAAGTCAAATCAAGTCAGCAACATATGCAAATATGTGCAAATCGTTCCATGAAGGCTAAAACGGACATGGGATTGGCCCCACAAACCCGCACGTGTGAGTCGGACAATTCAGCTCATGCCACTAAATGAACTTGACCCAGTTATCATCCCTGACAAGATTCTTGATCTCTTTTCAAACAAGTCCTGCCAAACAATTCTCGTGTCGAACCCCACATCACAACACATCAACTATCCCCTAACGATCCCACCATACAAGGGCGTCGCTACCGCTACTGGTAACAGTTGCCAAATGTGGCCAAGTGTCTAATCTACGTACGATCCGCAGAATTGGAACGACGCCGCTGCTTCTTGCGTGCTGGGTGCCCGGGCGCAAACCGAACGACAGTGGATCCCGAGTTGTGAACTTGGGCGGCGGCATCGGCACCAAGGACGGCCTTGACTCACCGGGTTACGGACGTGCGCGGGGCATGGAGGAGAAGATACTTCTTTGGTCGAGTTCTTACTTGGTCTTAGGTACAGGATGGTACAGGGATCCTTGGGTAAATGTTAGCGTTGCACGTAGTGAGATGCAGGTAGTCATGTAGTGAGACGCAGCTCAGCAGACAGCACTCATGACAGTGAGCTTTCTCTGCTTAATTACCGCGTCATTGGAGCCTAGAATTCAACAAACAGTTCAAACCAAAATATGGGGTTCTTTTCCCGAAACAGTATATATACGTCAATTCGATTTTGGTGGAACTATACCTTGGTCTGCTTTGCTCCGCAATGGCTGGTCCCCGAGACTGATCTGGGCCTAGCTTTACTATAGGAACCAGGGATCCATCCTCACTTGGGCCCCCACAATTTCGAACTGGCACCTGCCGATGGATGGAGGTGCTGCAAGGACCCTTTCAGCTCAGAAACTTGGCTTTGAGTGCAACCTCTCGAAAAGGATTTTGTCTTCCCTTCCAAATAGCTCTATAATGCTCTATACCTCTACACTGGGTTATTGAACCAAAAAGAACTCTGCATGAGAACAACTATCAGTTGGAAGGAACATGACAGGGTCGATATAAAAGGACCACTGCGCAACTTCTGCCTGAAATACTTCGAAAAAACGATCACCTGCAAAGAAAACGTGCATCTGCACCACCCGTCCAGCCATGGTAGTAGTACTTTTTCATACTTTTCCCCTTCTTCCTTCAGGTCTTGGAGATTAGGAAAAAACCTTTCCAAACAAGTCTGCGGCTTCCCAGAAGTCCGTCCACCCTTGCGAACCTCCACACACCAACGACACAAAACAGATCCGTCGGATCCCCTCGCGCGAGATCGGCAGATCGGGCGAGTTGGTGCGGCGCCTTCGAGTGCGCCAGCGGCCCCATCCTGCGGCCAAATCCGGACGCATCGATCCCAGTGATCCAACTCTGACGGTTTCGAACGGTCTTTCTAGTTTCGAACGGTCGTCATATTCTTCATTGCTCAAGTTCGGACGCTCACAAGACTTGAGACTGCTTGGCGGATCCAAGATCTTCTCACCGTCGCGAGTCGCCGTACCTTCATATTCAACTTGAACACACATCAGGGAAGTTGGAGCGGAGCACTTGTCGCACTTGAAGGTACAAAGAATGTTTGGAATCACCTATCTGGTGTCACTAGAGGCCCCCGAGAAAAGGTGAGATGTTTGGACCACCTGTCCTCAGGCTCTCGCTCGGCAGGCACCGTGGGCTTGCGAACCTCGCTGAGTAGCACACCAACGGGGCGAACCAAACGCTCAAGGCTTGGAAAAAGGGAGGCTCTTGGGGCCGACGCTCAACGCCCATATTTTGGGCAATCGGATAGTATAGTACCATACCATACAGTACCATATAATACGGTAATACCGTAGTCCCGCGTAGTCCGACCCAGATGTAAACATGATGAAAACCGGGCCCGTGCCATCCGTCCTCGGACCAACGGCCTTGAAAACCGCCTAGCAGTCAGGCCCTGACAGAAGCTCTGGCTCCCCACTCTCTGGCTCAAAGCATCCGACATGGTCGAAACTGGCCACCAAGACATAGTCAGACATGCCCAACAGGGTGCGATGATCAGAGTTCTTCCGCCCCTCCGAACAGATAGGTCTGCTTTGCATGAATGTGAATGAGTTCTCCTGCCCTACAAATCTAATGAGTTGCCTCCTGCTGCCTCAGGTCCATTTACAATGAACGGTTTTCCACTGACGGTCCCCTCGGTCCCCTCTGGGCCGCCCTAGCGAAATCTGGACTGTAGTGCTGCAAACGCGGTTGCACATAGTACCTGAGCTAAACAGGCACACGCTCAAATAGCACACAGTATAGCGTGGCTATATATGCAAATTCCACTCAGTCTGCAGGTCCGGAATTCATGTCGGCTACACTCAGCACTCAAGCCCCCGCGGTTTGACCAAAAAGGGAGCGCGCATCGACTGCTGGCTCCGCCTTTCGTTGTGCATTCGCATGGTAGCTCGTTAGCCTGGTTAAGTCCAGGTAGGCACGTGATTGCCCAGAGGCATCGCGTGGATCCGGGGACATGGAGACTTTGCCGAGGAGCAAAGATGGGGTGCCGTCCTTTGATGGGACGGTGGAGCAGCTGCCTCTGTTCAAAGAAGAAGCACTAGCCTACTTGTTCACGTTGGAACACCACAAACGGTATCTGGCTGGGCCTAGGCTAGCTCAGGGCTTGACAGGGGTGGCTAGAACAGTGATCAGAAAGAAGTTGGCCAAGGACCCTCAATGGTTAGCTCATCCGCGGGGGACTTTCGACCTGATAGACCATCTAGAGCGATCATTGGGGCAGCCAACACTGATCCTGGCAGCGCAGAACATCCAGAAATTATTTTACCAGTTGAGGCGGAAGAAGAATGAAACCATGACCCAATGGGTCAATCGACACAGTGAAGCCCTTTGGGAGGCATCAAGATCTCTACAACGAGTGCAAGGTGAGCATGGCGGCAGTGTGAACACTGCCCTGGGGGGTTCAAGACACTCGAGTGGAGCTCCTAGTGATGTGAGTTGGGGTGCCACTGGACGAGATCGGAGGAGCTCGGATGTCACAGCATCGACACACCGTGCCGCTGGACCTATGGGACCCTTCGATGAGAATGGTAGGATGATGGATGATGATGGTGAGGATGAACATCCCCACCGTGGCGCTGATGGTTGGTTGCAAAATGGCTGGAATTGGTGGGGCTCAGACTGGTCTGAATGGCAAGCTGGCTCATGGAAGAGTGATGAGTATGCACCACCGACTTCATGGCAGGCGGAGGTCTCTGACTTCATTCCAGACCACCTCACAGGTTTTCTTCTCCTTCAGCGTTCAGGGCTTGATGCCGGAGAGCGCGCCAATGTGCTTGCTGCAAGTCGTGGTGAGTTCTCAGTCGCCTCTGTGGAGAGAGCGCTGAAGGAGCAATGGGCTGATGATGATTTGCTCAAAAGAGACAAGTCGCACTACCAGGCCCACTTCGCTCAGGAGGAGGACCTGGAAGACGGCCTGACGGCCGATGGTGAAATGCCGGACCCTTCGACAGAACCGGAGGCCTATGCGGCATTCGTTGCAGACCAGGAGGTGATCGAAGACGCCCTTGAGGTGATCAAAGAGAAGAAGCGCACCTTGAAGGAGGCTCGCTGGCGGCAACAGCAAGTTCGCAGCGGGCGGAAATTCTACCCGTCGACCACGGGCAAGGGCTACTCCAAGGGTCAAGGCAAGAGAGATGATACTCCTCAGAAGTGTCTTCGTTGTGGAGGCCCTCACCAAACGTCAAACTGTCCAATGCCCCGTCGGCAGCAGGCAAATGTGACGGAAGAGGCTGAAGTCGCCTTCAGTGTGGCACCTGTACAGGAATCCTTGTCGTGTGAGCAGGCCAACGTCAGTTCCGAGGTGAGCGAGAACATCCGCCTGGGCAAGGGAATCATTGACTGCGGTGCCACGGCCACCTTGGGCTCTGTCTGTGCTGTTGAGGCACTGATGAGGAACAATGTCCTGAACAAGGGACATGATGGCGTGAGCGTGGATCCGGACACAACTCCTGTGTTCAGATTTGGGAACAACGGCACACAGCCGTGTGTGTCCACAGCCACAGTGAAGGTGGCGTGCGGAGAAAAGGTAGGAGACATGGCAATTCATGTACATGAAGTACCTGACCAGCCGATTTTGATTTCGATTCGGTCCCTCAAGGCTTTAGGAGCTGTTGTGGATTTTGGGCGGAATGAAGTGATTTACCGCAAGATTTGCCCCCACAGTGTTGTTGCTTTGGAACAGGCCTCGAACGGCCATCTCCTGATGCCCTTGAGTGGAAATCTTGAGGGGGCCACCCGCCGTAAGCAGGCTTTTGGTGCGCTCGGTGATGAATAGGAAATCCGCTCCTCTGGAGAAAATGGACATCGCGTCCAGGGGAGCCCTCATTCTTTTGATAGTGCATGTGTAGAACTTGGAACCTGCAGCATTTGTCATTTGAACGCTGTACAGAATTCTTTTTGCACCTTTTGTGGACATGAACATGATTGTGATTCCGTGTATGATGGTTGTAGTGGGTCTATCAGGTGTGTGTTTGAGCCGGAAGATGTTTTATCCCGACAGCAGCAGTGTGAACTCTCAACGTGCAGACCGTGTGATTCTCCGGAACTTGTGTGTGATCATGCTGACCGAGTGCAAGGCCGATCTCATCAACAAGCTTCAGGAATACGGCGAGTCAGTTTCCTCGAGCATGACAGTGCTCCAGCTGAAAGCTCGCCTGGCAGAACTGAAGGAGTCCGACAAGGAGTCCGACCGCCAGGTCCTGAAGAGCAAGATCCAGGCCCTGAACAAGGCTGCAAAGAAGAAGGCACACATCATGGAGATGGCAGAGAAGGAGGGCATTCCATGACGATTGCTCAGATGTACAGCCGACTGGAGGAGAAAATGACTATGGAGACACCACTGGTCAACTTTGGCAAACATGCCGAATGTCAGTACAAGGACATCCTGCAGACACATCGCTCCTACGGCAACTGGGTGATCGACACAGCAGCAGAGAATCCGGGCAGTCATTGGCGACTTTGTCGCCTGGCAGAATGGCTCAAGGAGAACTGGGACAGGCCTTTGACTCAAGGCCCAACAATCCGGGTGGAGGATCAAAAAAAAAATAAATAAGGATCAAAATAATAATAAAGCAATGAGATCAAAAGAAAAATTAATAAGGATCAAAAAACAAAATCTGGTGACGTAATAACAAAAACAATTGACAGACGAGGATCAAAAACAAAACAAACAAGAATCAACAAAGAAAGAACAGTAATGTGTGCAGTGGCAACAGTAGTAGTGACCGTCGTCGTCGTTGTCGTCGTCGTCGTAGTAGTAGTGGTAGTAGTAGCAGTAGTAGTAGTAGTAAGTAGTAGGTACTAGGTAGTAGGTAGTAGGTAGTAGGTAACAGGTAGGAGGTAGTAGGTAGTAGGTAGTAGGTGGTAGCAGTAGTAGTAGCAGCAGCGGCAGCAGCAGTAGTAGTAGTAGTAGTAGTAGTCGTCGTGGTAGTCGTAGCCGTGTTGTGGGAGCAGTAGTAGCATCGGGTTCCTCACAGAAGATACTATGCTACACTGGACTTGCTGCTTCCTCCGCTGAATTTGTCGCTCGTTCTCGGGAAGCTCACAAAAGGTATATTTACATGGGAATGGCTCCGCGACCTGAGCAGGAATTCTGATCTTTTTCCACGCACGGTCATCATAAGTCTCTATGATAACAAAGGATGTAGGAAGCTTTCGGGGCGCAAAATACGTCTTCAAGCCTCTTCGACCCGATATAATGTCCGGTGTAACCCTGGGAAAACCAGAAGCCCTGGAAGACCTGACGCCTTGAAGATGCGCAATCTGCTCCTGCGTGCGTGGCAGACACATGATCTTGATGCAAGTGGGAGTGTGCGCCGGCGCAGCCATTATGGTGAAGGCTTCCTACTCTTCCAACGTGCGCGCGTACAAGCGAGTTGCTTTCTGCGCGCACACGCGAGCGGCATTGTCGGCTTTCTGGCGTTCTTGATATTTGTTTCTCTAACTTTCAGCGGTCATTGTCGGGGTTGGCTTGCAACTCACTGGCTGACTTGAGTAAGCGATCTCGGCAGCACGCGCCGCCTACTGAATTATGACGACGCCAATGCACACACCTCACTCGCGCGCTCAAAAAATAACTCCCTTGCCCGCTCTGGCGCCTGCCTCCTTTGTGAGCCACAGGCGCGCTACCTTGGCGTGGCTCCTTCCTCCTCTAAATTTGGTTCTTGGGCGGCTCACAAAAGGACTGACGCCTTCCTCCTCCAAGTTTTGCCCTCGGAAGGCTTACCTTGGAATGGCCGCTTCCCTCCTCCAGGTGGCTCACAAAAAGGTCTGCTACCTTCGAATGGCTCCTAGCTCTCACCTGAATATTGCCTATAATGCGTCCTGCAAGCAGTTCATGTAAGCACTGCTCTACTTCAATGTCTACTTCAATTTATTTCGTTCTTTGTGTCTTTCGCTCTTTCTTTCTGTGTTTCTTTCTTTCTTTATGTCTTTCTTTCTTTCTTTCTTTCCCTCCTTCCTTCTCTCTTTCTTTCTTTCTTTATTTCTTTCTGTCTTTCTTTCTTTCTGTCTTTCTTTCTTTCTGTCGTTCTTTCTTTCTGTCTTTCTTTCTTTCTTTCTGTTGTTCTGTCTTTCTTTCTTTCTTTCTTTCTTTCCTTTCTCTCTTCTCTATTGCTTCTTTTTATCCCTGCTTGTTGTTGTCTTGATCTCTACTTATTTTTTTTTGATACCCATTTGTTTTGTTATTGATCCCTATTTATTTTTTTATTGATCCCTATTTATGTTTTTTTTGATACCTCTCCCCAACAATCCGCTCCTTGACAACTCCGACAGCTCGTGGACGGAATTCAGGCTACCAGCCGCCAGCTCGCGAGCGAGACAGCGACCACACGGACAGCTCATTTGTCAAGGTGAATCAGTCCGATTCAGACCAAGATGTGGATCGCCTGAAGGCAGAACTGGAGCAGCTGAAGTCAGAGAATGCCATGCTCTCCAAGCAGATGGAGAGGAGCAAGTCCCGCAAGGAGATGTGAACACCGCTGATGAGCCCGAGAGTGATCAGGAGTGGGATTCATGCCCGGTCCTTCAATGCTTCCACACCCACAAGCAAATTGGTCGCGCATGGCTTGAAACAAGAAATCCATTCGGCAAACACTGGAATGACCTAGTGCACTCTGATCGAGTTTTCTTGTTGGAGGTGGCATGTGGGCCCCAGAGTCTTTTGACCGAGGAGGTGTTGAACCCGGTAGTGCACTCCGTTGTTCAATCTGGAATGGCTATGATTTGACATCCGACAGTGGCGTGACCAAACTCAAGAAGCTGATCCGTGAGGTAAGACCAGTTCATATTTGGGTGTCATGCGACTGTGGTCCCTATATTCCCCCCTTCAAAGACTCAATCGTAAGACTGAGGAACAGAGGAAACAACTTGAGGAAAAGCAAGCCTATGCTAGAAGGGAATATTTGGGGGGCATTGAGGTGGCACGATATGGTCGACGCCGTGGATCCCAAATTCATTGGGAATTGTCGGAGCGTTGCGAGGCCTGGCACTTGCACGAGTTACAAGGATTTGTGGAGGAGCTCCAACTTAGGAAAGTGACTTGTCATGGTTGTACTGTTGGGCTTCGCGCAAAAGACACTCAACAGCTGATGTGCAAGGGTTGGACCATAGCAACCGCCAACCAGGGTCTCCTCCGTCATATGCATCTTCCATGTCAACAAAACCACAAGCAGACACCATGTGAAAGTGGTAGACCAGCTATGTCAGCATACTATACTCCGGTGTTTGTGAAAAAGGTGGCGGAGGCTCTTCAGGAGCATGAAGCGTGGACCGCTTTGACCTATGAGCTGAACGCTGAGGATACAGCATCCTCGGATCCGTTTTTCTGTGAGGAATCTTCAGAGAGTTGCCTTGTGAATGAAGGGGACATCAACAGAGAAGAACATGAGAGGATTCTGAAACTGGTTCGGCATATTCACAACGTCACAGGCCATGGTTCTTTGAGCACTCTTCTCAAATCGCTGAAACACAGGGGCGTCTCAGAGAGGATCCTCGCGGTGGCTCGCGACTTTGAATGCCCCGTGTGTGAGGAACGGAAGAGGACTGCACCTCATCGTCCAGCGACATTAATTAGAGACTCTGGCAAAGAAATGGCAGAAGGTTCAATGTGATTTGGGTTCTTGGATTCACCCCCAGACAAAGAACAAGGTGAAGTTCATTCTTTTCATCGATGAGGGTTCACGTTTTCGTGTAGGGCGAATCATTTTCGAGAACAGTAGAAACCAAGCAACCTGGAACATTGTGCAGAAGATTTTTGAGGAGTCTTGGATGTCAGTTTTTGGGCAACCCGAAGAAATTCGGGTAGATCCGGAGGGCGTGTGGAGAAGTGATGAGGCTGCTGCATACTGCCAAGAACGTGGGATTATTCTCACACCAATTCCGGCGGAAGCTCATTGGCAGATCGGAGTGGTCGAAGAAGCCATCAGGGCTGTCAAACATGTCATGGAGTCCCTAGCGAGCGACTTTCCAGAAATGTGCATGACAGAGTTGTTCACAAGGGCCATTTGGGCATGCAACAGTCGGGACAATCAACATGGTTATTCTCCTGCACAACATGCTATGGGTCGTACACCAGATGAGTGGGGACGCTTGTTTGAGGGAAACGTAGACCAACATCCAGTTCACCCCCAACAGATGGTTGACGGTGGCTTTGCAGAAAACATCAAAGCAATGGCAACAGCAGAACAGAGTTTCCTACGTTTTCAGGCACAAGCAAGGCTGACTAGGGCAGAGGCAGCAGGTAGAAGACCACTCAAATCCTTACTTCTGGGGACCTGGTGTTCTATTGGAGACGACAGACGCAAGGTGGTGAAGGTCGTGGGTTTTCTTGGAGAGGTCATTTTGTGGGCCCCGCTAGAGTCCTAGCTGTTGAGACCCGTGTTGATGACGAAGGAAAACTTCGACCTGGGAGTTGCGCGTGGCTCCACCGAGCAGGACGCCTTATCAAGGCGGCGCCCGAACAGCTGAGAACTGCGTCCAGTCGAGAGAGGGCCATCGAGGAGCTCAAGGGGCCCTGCGAGATACCTTGGACCATTTCCAGTTTGGCTAGTCATCCACAAAGATCTACCTACTGGGATATTACCTCGGAAGTTCCCTCAGATCTTCAATGGCAAGAGGCTTCAGAACACCCCACAGGTAGGCGAAGAGTGACAGGGAAGAGAACTACTCCACTTCTTGACGATCGTCCCTCTCGACCTCGACTAGATGCGAGCAGTCCGGATGTGGAGATGCCGCCGGCATCAAGCCAGCCTGATGCAGAGATGTCAGATCCCGCTCTCACAGCCACAAAGCACCCAGAGCAAGTGCTAACAGCATTTGAGATCAGCATCGACATCCCCACTTCCAAAAGAGGTTTCCAGCGGTATTGCGCAAACCCAGAGGCCTTTGTTGTAAGCCAACTCAAGAGGTCTCATGTAGAGGTGCGAGAGAGAACATTGACAGATCAAGAAATCTTGGAGTTTGACGAAGCCAAGGGCAAGGAGGTTCGCAACTACATACAATCACATTGTTTTAAAGTCCTTCCACCAGAACTACAAAATTCAAAGGATGCTGTGGGTATGAGATGGGTTTTGACTTGGAAACTGGTTGACGATCCAGATCGACCCAGGCGTGCCAAGGCTCGCGCGGTGATATTAGGATACCAAGACAAGAATTATGAGTACAAACAAACAGCATCACCGACATTGTCACGTTCTGGCCGTCAACTGTTTTTATGCCTCTGTGCACGGCAACATTTCAGAGTACGCAAGGGCGATGTTTCTTCAGCATTCTTACAAGGCGAGGAGCTGAAGGACGGCATGCTAGTGCAGCCCACTCGAGAGATCTGCGAAGCATTGAACATCCCTGAAGGTTCGGTGACCCAACTTCAGAGAGCAGCGTATGGCCTGGTCGAGGCCCCACTCTGGTGGTATCGCAGTGTGTCCAATTTCTTGATCTCTATAGGTTACACTAGAATGCGTACAGAGCCATGCATTTGGGTATATTTTGATGGTCATGGTGTTCCACGTTCAGCAATCAGTGGTCACGTTGATGACTTTTTGTTTGGAGGGTGCGACAGTGACGATGTACATGTACAACTCATGAGTCAGATTAAACAGAAGTTCAATTGGGGTGTTTGGGAGGACAGTCCATTCATACAATGTGGTGTGAAAGTGACACAACATTCCGATTTCAGCTTCACTCTTTCCCAGAAGGATTTCATTGAAGGTCTCACTATGATCAGGATCTCCAAGGACAGGCTGAAGGAACGACAGGTTGAGACAACAGACAAAGAAAAATCACAAATGAGAGCTGTTTTGGGTAGCTTGAGTTGGGTTTGTGGGCAAACCGACGTTGTTCACAGTTCAGATGTCAACTACCTGGTTTCAACTATACCCCGAAGCACTGTTCAAGACTTGGTGAAACTCAATAACCTGGTTGCAGATGTGCAGAGAACCGCTCCAGATATAAGAACCCATCCTCTCCAGAAAGGAGAAACAGTCGACCTCATCGCTTGGGGAGATGCAGCTTGGGCCAACCGTCCAGATCAAATCAACAGCACAGAAGGTATAGTCATAGGCTTAGCACCTCGAACACTCCGTGATGGCAGCCTCTCGAAGGTGACACTTCTGTCATGGCGCTCAGGCAAGATCGGCCGGAAATGCAGATCCCCAGCATGCGCAGAGATTCATGCTGTTGTCAATGCGGAGGATGAACTTTATCACATGAGATATTTATGGTCCGAGCTCAATCATCCACCGGGCTGTTTGATGCGGCTTTCGGCAGACAACATAGTCATGCTTTCTCCAGGAATTGTGGTGACAGACAGTAAGAACCTCTATGATCGCCTGGACAAGGATACACCAACCATTAAGGGTGAAGAGAAACGGGCCACGATAGAAGCTCTTGCATTGAAGGATTCAGCAACAGACTCTGGAACCATGATCAGGTGGGTGCATTCTGATGCTCAACTAGGGAATTCACTCACAAAACCTACGGAAAAGGGTCAAATCCATTTGTACTTCCAGATGGGCCAAAAGTGGAGGATAGTATACGATGAGAAAATGAAGTCGGCACGGCGCCGAAAAGCTGAAGGGATAAAACCTATGGAGAGTTAATTTTTTTTGTTAAATTTAGATGTCCACCGGTGCAAATTCCAGTCAGTCTGCAGGTCCGGAATTCATGTCGGCTACACTCAGCACTCAAGCCCCCGCGGTTTGACCAAAAAGGGAGCGCGCATCGACTGCTGGCTCCGCCTTTCGTTGTGCATTCGCAATATATTATATATAGGACCTGTGGTTATGCAAATAAACACGATCTTGTGGCTCCTGCGGCATGAACAAGAGTTCTACAGTCTACAGGACCCAGATCGACCAATAGCTTCAAACTTTTTCTTGGGCTGGAATAGCTGCTGCACTTCGAAACACCCATCAGCGATTGAGAAAAAATAATTGTCTTGCAGCGATGAACCACTACAGTATGTCTTGGGAAAATCATCCAAGACTTGTGGCCCAAAAGACGTAAAAAAGCCGAAAAACATCAACCAAAACATAAACCGCACGAACTCCCAAAACGGACTCCCAACGGACCGCTGGTCTTCCCGTCGCCGCCGAGGGACGGATCCAGGTCCAAGGTCACGGCCGCCGGCTGCCCGCCTGGGAGGATCAAACGTGGAAAGGGTCGAAACAGAAAACCCTGCAAGGGCATCGCTACTAGTAACAAGTGCCTTACGAGTAATAACAAAAAGCTACTAGTAACAAGCTACTAGTAACAAAGGGCATCGCTACTAGTAACAAGAAGCTACTAGGGGCTCCTGGCCTTACTACTAGGAGCAAGAACGCTACTAGGGGCTCCTGGCATCGCTACTAGGAGCATTCTTGCAGTTGGGTGCGGTTTAAATGAAAAACAACAAAAACCCTGCCCGCCCCATCCCTTGTCCCCTCCTTGTCCCACAGAGACCAGGGTGACCGGATCTGAGTGTCCTTCTTGACCCCAAGTGAGCCAAATTTGGAACCAATGCAAAGCCAGTCTCACTGAAGTACTCAATACGGGTCTCTTGGGGGCCGCTCCGCACGTTTGGCCATTGCTTAGCAAAACGGCTGCTTCCCAGGCTGTTCGATGTGCGGCACCCCTTTGCAGCTGGCACTGTCGCACCGGAGAAGCTGTTTCTGGTAGTTTGAGAAGCCAAACACAGTTTGCTCCTTTTGCTTGACAAATCAGGGCACCCAACATAAAATCACGAAGAATTCACTGAGATTCCTGTGCGCCAGAGCTTTTGGGATGAACTTCCCCTTCACCGGTCTCACAGTTTCAACATGTGTCAACGGTCGCAGGCCTTCAACGGGGATCTTGGCGGTCGCAGGCCTTCCACCAGTGATGGAAAAAGCAATGGGTGCCAAAGCACAGCATCGTGAGTGGTTTGCGGGGGGGGATGGGGGAAATTGGTCCGCGTCTGAAGCGAATGGAACGCTTGGTGGATCTCACCCGAGCAGTGCTTTTGACTTTTGACACAGACGGTATTCAATGTGGAAGAGCTGCACCTGCCGCCTCGCTAAGAAAGGACTCACCAACCAATGTTCTGCCCCAGCAATAATATAACAAAAGCAGAGTAGCGAGAAGTGCCTCACCCTCCTCCTGTTTGAAGAGGAAATCGTGCTCTCAAGGGCCATGATCCAGCTTCATCTTTAGTATATTATATATATATATATGCACTCCCTGAAACAATCATGGAAGTGGAACATAGGCCCCGGAAGACCATTTTCCTCTACAAGGGGGTCGTGGTCAGCTTCCATGATTGTTGGAGGGAGGGTGCAATATTCTATGTATATACCTAGGCCTTCCGGCCTGACACTTTTTTAGACCCTGATGTTAAGTACTAAAATTATAGTACATAAATCCAAGAACAGACCCTAATCCAAAATTCAGACCCTGACACTTTCCTTCCCTCTCCCATTTGTCCTTCTCTCTCCCGGCTGCCATTTCTCATTCCATGTGTGGATTTATGTGGATCAGCTGTGTCAACAACAGTCATCAAACCACTATGGACGCACTGGGTTTGTTCCTCAGCCAAAAACAAGGATTGTTTATATATAATCATCTTTCATCCACAAACCACACCCCTTGGACAGTTGCCATGGTGCACCTTTGCGCACCCAACTGTCAAGCCCCTGGTCTGCATTGCCGCGACAGTCTGGGCTGGCACAAAAAACTATACTTCGAGACTATTGCTTCTTTCTTTTGAATCGTTTGATGATCATTTTTGATTTCACACGGTATGCTAAGATGGTGTTCTCAACCACGTTTACATTTGACACTCTCCGTGATTGTCTGGAGATGCGCCCTACGAAGTCCTCCGAAGAAGAACAGTCAAACAGGGCTGGGTTGGCACAAAAGGAGTTGCCATGTTGAAGCCCCAATTGAACAGGAAAGTGATGCATCGCGTGCAGTTTCGGTACCATGCCGTATAGCTGCAAGTTTCGCTGGTATGCGTATTGAGCCAACCAGGCATAAGACTGAACAAAGTCTCGTGCATATCGAATGATGCGGTCCCTGCAGCCAACTGGTAGCCACAGTCCGTGGCGGTGTATGCACTGGAAATTCAATCCTTGCACTGCAGCCTTCAGAACTAATGGAAATAAAGTCGAAGTTGGGTTTGCAACACCTTCAAGACCACTCACAAACTTCAGCCACTTTAAGAGGTAAATGCTGTCACTGGCTTTCCCTCCAATGAAGGGGAAGACTCCAAGTCTGGGCATGTGTAACGCCGCCTTGCTGAATGACCTGATAGCCCCACAGGTCACATTGTTGGCATCGCACCAAAGGGCAAAGGAGCTCCATGCACGAATCAACCTATTGTCTATCGCTAACGAATCTCCAGGAGAATCCCACACCCCTTCCAAACAGAACAGTACTATAGTGGAGCCAATGAAATTCCTTGCAATCCCCAGTCTGAAGATGTGCATTGGGTCCTTCTTGAAAAACCTCCCAGCAGCCCCCGTGTTCCAGTCTTCAAACGGTATGTGCTTGAATGGTGGAGTCTGTGTCCAAGGAGGGCTGTTGTATAGAGTTGAGAGCCATGCGGGACATGTTGATACATCCTCGAATGGATATCGAATGTCGCCAGCCCAACACTCTGCACAGCACCTGAGGAAATTTCGGGAGCCAACATTCTGGTAAGACCTGTTCAGTGTTCCAGACTTGGTGTGGTACTCCATGTCCCCGGCCATCCCCAAAACTGCCACGTGGTACAGACTGTTGCCCACTGAAATTCCATCACAGCAAGCAGCTCTCAGGTCCATGGATGCCGCGTCCAACATGGACTTGAAAAGGCCAGGAGTCGATTTGAACTTCTTCGAAGGGAAGGCAAAAATCAAAAAGTGGGTGAGGTATGAGTGATTTCGATTGTTCAACCTTTGTGCGAGCGGATCCAACTTGCAATCACCACAATAGACTGTTGAAGGGTTGCAGGTGCATCCAAAATTGTTTATTTCTGTATCCAATCCTAAAGCTGGTCGAAAACTGACAACTTCCAGTGGCGCCTTCTTTTGGGTACGACCTCCATCGCCGTGAAGAAACACAGGGATGGTCTGAGATAATGAGAGCCGATTTTCCTCGGCCATTTTGTACACTGCATGAGTGCTATGCTCCGACTTGTAGAGCCTCCAAAATGTAGCCAGCATGTCCTCCGCTTCTTGGCCAGGTTCCAGCCCTCCTAAAAGTATCCACGGTTCGTTGGACAGCAAATACTTCAGCATGTCTGTTGGCTTCAGATAGGGAAGTCTGACGGTCCCTCCATTCTCCTCGAACTGGTGGTACGATGTCGGAATTTTCCTCATGCAGGATGCATGTCTATTAAGGATATAAAAGTGTGAAGGTCAAACCCTTTATACTTTTGTTAGTAGTAGATGCTGAAGAAAAAGCACTGGGCCACAGCCAAGTTTCAAAGCCATACCAAACCTGGCTACTACTCGTTTGTACTGCCTGGAGGAATTCTTGTGTTGACACCCCAGCACACCAGTGGTGGACAAGGGCAAGGGCTCATGATCCTCCAACTCTTCCTGCAGGGCATCAGCATGCTGGGCCAAAGACACAGCTGGAGCCTCAGCCAGGAAGAGCACCAAACTACCCACTGTGGGCTCAAGACACAGTGAGCACAACGTGCATGCAAGAAACTCCATCGGCAACCTTTTCAACTAAATGTTCTAATAGTGGACCAGCAGAATCATCTTCATCAGCCCGGCGTTTGCCTGGCTTAGCACCAAATCCACTTAATATAAACATGTGTTGCATGAAGATGCACGCAAGCTCTATTTCCTAAGAAGTACATCTCACGCAAAGCGACGGCTGAGCTCTTTTCCACTTCCCCCACAAGCCATAAGATGGCAACATCGAACAACTGGCTGTTCGTAGAAGCCGGGCTTCCAACGAGGATGTTATCACCCTCATTGAGTCACACCCCTAAATTTTGCACCAACTGCCAACATATCCAACATGTACAACACAATTTGGAGGCAAACCAATGTCATATATAAGGACCAGGGTTGGTGCACACACAGGCCTTTACAGCCAAATCTCAAGCCCCTTAGTTGGACCTCCTGGATTTAGATTTGGGCTCAACCTTCACCTGGGTCCGCGAAGGTGTAGTATTCCTGACACCCTCCTCCTCCTTCTTCTGTTTTCTCTCCAACGCTTTGATTTGGGAAATAAAGGGCCTTATATGCTGCCAAACAGCTTTTGTTTGATTCACAAAAAATGTGGATTTAATACAAGCTCGCATGAAATCTTGCATCGATCTCTAAGTTAGCAACGCAGCTCTCGTGCTGAGGTTCAAAGCTTCTGCGCACCTCAGACCGGCTTTGGCTTGGGAGCTCAAAGGACAGAATGTCTTTTCGTGTTCTCTCAGTTCTAGCCTGCGGAAAACCAGCAAGACCTGCCAAACATGGAGCGACCCATATTTTCCCAAATGCAGTCACTCGGGCAAACTAGTCAAAGTGCAAATTAACATCGAATTAAGTTATCCGACCCTTTTCAACTGGTCAGCCCTGCCACCGGTCACGTATGTAAAGAAAGGAGGACCCAAGTGTTTCTTCCGGTTCAGCCCACCTTCCCCCCCACTACCTGGTGCATTGCGGCAGCCAGATGATGTGTGAAACACTTCAATGAGTGATGCTTCCAACATGTGGGTGAGACTCAGGTCATTGCTAACACATATGATCCACATGTCAGTAAAGTTCTTGCTGCGGTAGTCCTGGAAGCGTGTCACTGGGTCAGCCGTCACACCTATTTTGAAGACAGAAACGGTGACACCAAGGGCTTCTCGGAAAGCGCTAATTTGCCGCTTGCAGTGTGACAGGATCTTGCCACAAGTGGGCGGTTGTGGCCGAGCCTTCAAAGTTCTGTTGATGATGTTGAACCGGTTGAGGGTCTCCCACGAAACAGCTGCCTGCGATGAGCATGCATTGTCCATCGTGCCCTGGCATTCCTCATACATTGGTCAAGGCCAGAACTATATATATAGAACTGCTTACCACAAAACTAATTTCTATGAACCAACAGTGTCCTTCCATAACTACAGCACATTCCTCCGCGTACCTTCAGGAGGCCTTCAGGCAACTGCCGCGATACAGGAGTGATGTGCTCGGGGAACGGCTCGGGGAACATGCAATATTGGGAAATTGTTTTGGGAGCTAACCCAAACTGCTTTCCTAGATTCAATCAAGCGTCATGTTCAGAAGGAACAGGTCTTTTCACTGTTGCAGGCGCATCAAGGCCCGCACTCACAGCGCACCGCTTTCTGCCCGTGACAGGGCATGTATATGTCAGAAGGTCCAACAAGAAGTCTAAATCATCCATTGCAGAAGGTCCAAAGCTAAGGCACACAGATATTGGAAAGACTTTATTGAAATAATGCATTGGTGTTGCCTTGATGTTCTATCAAGTCAAATCATTGGTGTGGTATAATTGTGATGTCATGAGTTATGATTGTTCTTCATCAAGCCCTGTGTTTGATCACCGTCGTGTGCTGAGGGAAGAAGTTTGCAACTAGCACAAAAAATGCGTTGATTGTTGTAAAACCTCAAATGTTTCCACAGGACACCTTCGAGCGCCAAAATGCCATCGACTAGGCACCACTTCCGGGCTTCTTTGAAGAGGGAAGTGAACTCATCCTGTTGCCTTGGGGAGCGGTGCCGAGAAAGGTATACCAAAGCCGTCCGCACTGTGTTAAGATTGCGAACATGAAGACAGCTTGTCCAGTTACAACCAAGTGACGTTCGATCGAAACCATTGGTGATCCCCAGAATGTTGACATTCGAGATTGATGTCTCTACTTTGCCAATCTCTTTATCGATCTCCATGGTTCTAGTGAGCAGCCTCAGTGGCTAAGAACTAGAGGGTAGGACATGCATCCTATTCTCACAATAGTGGTTTTGCACAGTAGTCTCATTCAACTGAGAAACAGTCTCACATTTTCAGGTGGGTCCTCAACCTCTTGAAGAGTGCCCCCCATGTTAAAAAGCTTTGCGCGCCACTTCCCGATCGCTTGAAGAATCTTCTGCGCGTAGCTCGATGGTAGGCCATCAGAATCCATTACCGGGAAGGACAAAGCTTTCAAGGCACGAGTGGTGCCCACGGCGCTGTCAGCATCAATCACAATGGTTGGATCTGCACGCGTACGCTTGCAGAACATGAGCCATTCGATGGTAAGTATAGCATGGCCGGTATAATATGATATCAGATCATGCATGCATGCATTGCAAACAGAGTGCATGCCTGTTGTATCCTTGGGCAATTCAAAGGCATCCCCAATGTCTTGTGTAAACGTTGGAAGCATCTTCTCATATTCTCCGTCGCTAACGTCGTTCTCCTCTTCTAAGACTTGTCGCTTTCTTTTCCTTATATAGATTTCGCGTTTTAGACAACACATTAAATGTAAAAAAATATGCAATTCAAGGACTCATGCACCGGACAAGAGTGCATGCAAGTATCAGCTTTCTTCCACCAATCTGTTTCTCCACCCAGTAAAGCTTCACGTGCTTCTCGTACTTGTCCTCCTCAGAAGAACGGTGTGAGTGTGTGCAACACGTGTCCTGCTAACCTGTGGAAAGAGTTAAGGCTGAGCGTGTGTGGAATGAACAGAGACAGGGTATCAGCAACCATCAACTCAGGCAGAACACCAGAACACGAACCGGATAGCCGAGTGACCGGATCGAACCTGCATGTTGAGCACATTCAGCTTTGATCCCAGCGATACGTGGCCTAAGTCTAAGTCATATGTGCTGGGTCCGTGCTGTAGCCAGCACATGTGCTCTTTTATGCATTGCAATGTTTAAAAAACGATGATGAACAAAAACAAGGGGCCCTCACATGATGCAAACAGGATACTCTTTGAAGCCCTCATCAATCATGTCTTGTTCTGACATGAACTGGCCATCCACGAACAAGTCATCCTCCGATATCAACTGGGCCTTCTTGCGGCAGGTCTTGACAAAGGCATCCTGCATGCAGAAGATGCAGTCAGGACTCACGTGGGCAAAGGGAGGATGCAAGGGGTCAATAATTTGAGAGCCTTTTGCAGGGGTACACATGCACTTGAATTGAAACACAACAAGTCCTTGTTGCAATCAGACTTTTCAAAGAGTTCCATCACCTCTGCCCTTCCACCGCCCACAATATCTTTGAACTTCTCAACAATTTCCATTGGGAGAGCACAAGATCCATCAGCACGTACAGCCGTGAGCCGACGAAGAACTTTCATCGCTTTGCTTTCACTGGCCTTATATGATAAAGGTGTTCCCCCATGTCTTGTGTGCAAGATTAACAACGTTGTTCATTCACATACACGACGTGCTTTTTTTGGCATGCCCAAGGGACCTTATAAGGTTTGGTGTTGGGGAGCATGGCATCGTCTGGAAAGATATTGAAAGTTGGCATCGCAGCTGCCTTGATCAGGAAAGATCGATGCATCGTCCATTCCATTGGAGTCTTCAAAACAGGCACGCTATTTGGAGCAGCCAAGATACCGGTTCACTTGGTTTCGGTGATTCCAGGTGCTCCTTGTCATCCATGTTTTCCACGTCCTCATGCAAGCGGGCCGGTATATATTGAAACCATGGATTGGGAAACCCTGAAAACGACAGAGAGCATTTTGAGTTTGAGTGGTTTATATCCTTTCCAATCATCGTGAAGATGGATTTCTCCAACTCCGCGTTGGACAGCAGCCCAATGTCCTGACTACCAAAATACACGCCATGGTGCAGCACACCAAATTGCCAATTCCAAGTGTGTACTACAAACAACCATGCCCAAGCCTCATATGCTATAATCTCACCATATGGGTCTTGCACAGCCACAAGAGTGTCACTGTCCTTGGAGAACGGTTGCCGTTGGTTGAGGTCATATGCTATCGACTTCTGTTTCTCCATGGACGGATGCTCATTGAATAAACAAGACATGCAATTGTTGCATACAGGAATCCTCAGCTTGGTCCTGGTCATACATTTCATCGCCAGGTAGACCACGAAGATGCGGTTCACCATCATGTCCGGGGACCTGAAGACCGGTATACTGCACCAAAAATATAACAGAAAAAAACAACACCTTTACACATGCGTGCATGCACATCATATTTGGCTAATGTGCAATCAGCGCACGGACAAAGTGGCTGGAAGTGTCTCAGCATCCGGGTCAGCTTCCCACGCACGGACAGGTGTTGGAATAGGACGAGCCAGAGTCTGCTCTTTTAGTTCCTCTGCATGACAAACTAACACACGCTGTACTTTCCGGTCTGCATTTAGTGGTCCACATATATATAGCGGTGACATGATTCACACAAGGGCAGGCCTGAAGTCGCTCAAGTTCAGCCTGCATCTCATCCAAATTCGCTTCAGCTAGATCATCCAACCCCGACTCATCGCGGAGGAGCTCCACTCCCGCCATAAGAGTTTCAGACGAGAAAACTCTGGATGGAAGTGAAACCGGCATCAGGCACCTTTAATAGGTCCACTCAAGATGCTGCAGTGATATCATGAAGCATTAGTGTTTGAGTGTTTGACGTCCAACCCTTGAAACACTACAAATCAAGACCCCAAATGGGCGACCGGAAATTTCCGACCTTTTCCTGGGAATTTCCGACCGGCACCCGGGAAATTCCGCCCCTAATTTTTTTGAAACACATGAAGAACTTCATGTGTAGGTGTTCATGCAACTCATGCACTTTCCTGAAGATTGCATCTTTGGGATCTATTACACACTCATGCATGGACTTTGGTCATGAAGGACTCATGTATGTACATGAAGGGCTCATGACGGGCTCAGCGAACACAAACAGCTTTGAAACATTTCTTTCTTTCAACATATAGACATATAAAAGGACATGGTCATATACCCCAAACATGGGATCCAGGTATTTGACTGGTCTTCCCTTTGCCCCCACCACCTGATGCACCCTTTATCCATGAGATGCCCCACCATCAGGCAGTGAGCTCATGGAAAACGCAACCATGCGACTAGGTTGCATTTCCTGGAGCGAGCAAACGTGCACGTGTGTGAGCTTGTATTCAATCTCCCACATTCTAGATTAGAATTAATTGGGTTGGCTACCAGAAAGCCACAGGCAACGACCGGCACTCGCGCTTTACATAGCACTTGGCAGGAGGTCTCTCCAACCGTCCGGAAATACAAGTCTTTTGGAACCCCGTGTATAACGAATCACATCCCTGAGGTCACCTTCTAGTTCCCAAGCGCGACCCTCATCGTCAAATTCCATAGCGGCAAACAGGTCTTTGGTCGAGGCATCCAAAACCTGACAGCGCCGTTGGACGACATGATGATCATACCTTCTCCACCATTGAGTTTTTTGTTTCTTGAGTAGCACGCCTCCACAGGAAAGCAATGCGACCGCTGTTGGGACCAAATCTCTGGCAGTAGGGATACCAACTTCGCTGCATACTTATAGGAGTATACCCTAAGCAACGCAGCGATGGTCAAGGAAAAACAATATTAACGGTTGTCAAAAAAGCATGGTCACCAGCAAAGCTGAGAATCTGAGACTTCTTCAAGGTGGAGTTGCCTTTGAATTTGGTCACACCATTCTTGTCGATGTATTTAGTGGTAGTTGGCCTAGCAGTCTCCTTCTCTTTGGACGTGAGCGGACCCTTGTCCAGCTTGACAATACACCGGGAGTTTGCCCACACCCAGGTTCTTTTCCATGACATAGACCCATACTTTCGCATCCAAAATGCAATCTTGCTAATCTTAGTTGGCAATATCAAATTGCTCATGTCATACTCGAGTCCAACATACATGGTTTCCACAAAGTCCTGAACCCAATGTCTGCCGAGGCGCCACAATCCCGTGTTTCTGAAGACGTTCAAGCATCCAGATGAAGCGGGGGTGCAAAGCAATTAGGCTTTGGGCCGGGTTCTCTAGGAAGAACACACCGCCAGATACAATGGTGAGCCAAATGATGATGCAGGACCTTTAGGGTCAGACTTCCCTCTACTATTTGGTGGGGTAAGATTGGTCTTTGGAACATCATGCACAAACCATTGTTTTTCCCCCAACAGTCCTGGCTACCATTTTGTTACTTCTTCTCACCGAAACATAGTTCTCATTCCCCAAAGGAGTGACCAAAGAACGGCCAGTGCTGCCACGATTCACAGGTACCCACGAAGAGCAAACTATAGCTAGGAAAGAAGCCAGGCGTTCCCACTCTGAGCAAAGTACCAAATGGATGCACAACCTCCAGCATGGATGGAATCCAAATCAACTACGGCATGGAGGGGACAGTCAGTAAACTCCTGAAATAAACATTCTATATATATATATATATATAGAGGTTATAGGGGGTCCATCGCGTGATCCAATGGACAACTTAAGCCAAGTTGTGGTCCAGTAACACTAGGCCTGCGTTGCTGTTCAAATCCATCGGCGACGGCCTCCCCATCCTTTTCCCAACCTCCTCCCCATTGACAATATCCACAGCCGCGGATCGAAGGCCGCCAAGCTTGGATAGGGCAGCAATGCGCCCAACACCGGAGAAGAATTCTAGCACCTGATAAGGGCTCTCTTCTTCTTTTGGTAGATCAAGCCACCAAACAAGGAGAACCAGAAGCACCACTACCTTGGCCATTTCCAGCGAAAGGCTGTATGAGGATGTGAATGGGCTAGGGCTAGGCTTTATAGGGAATGACGGGTTTGGGTGGCCTAGGCCAAGCTGCCTTTGGAGTTTGGAGAGCGATGAGCCGCTTCACCAGTGCATCAAATTCAGGCGGGGTCATGGCTACACAGACCACCGTGCGTCAATCCACAAAAAGATTGAGAGGTTGCAATGCAGGGAGTTTATGTGCGTGCTTCGATCAGTTAATGACCTTAGTCAATGAAACTACTCAACAGCCCTGGCATAAGGAAAATTAAATATGGCATCGGAATGCATCGGATGAATCACTTGCACCAATCAACCAGCAACAAATGTGCAAATGCATGGAACTGGAACTTCTGCAGTAAGAACAACCAGCCGTGCACACCTGGATTGGTTGAACATGCCATCCCATACTTGGCCAAGTTCATACATCCTCGCCGTAGACCAGCTGGCATTTGCCTGGCAAGTGCGCCAATGAGGTACATGGTTCATTTTCATGTATGGAATGACTGGGAGGAATTGGTCCAGAACGATTCAACGATCTGTTTCAAAAGACTCGGGCGGATTGGCTTCACAATCTCTGGTGTTCACCCATTCTTTCATAAACTTTGATGCATGCACTGCATGCCAGACGTTTTCAATTTCAAGACCCCCATAAATTCAACTAGGACCATGCTTTGAGAAACTTAGATCATTCAAGGTGTACGTTTGCAAGCCTGCCCTAAAAGCTGACACCCTTTTTCCAGCCAAAAGCAGATGGTGAAAAGCTTTAATTGCCGGCTCTCCCACTAGCTGGAACGCATCCAGATTCATTGTATATCATTCGATTAACCCCAGATTGCAGCTAGCCTGGCTGGCTGCATGGCCCCATTGAAATCGGAACATAGGGTGTTTTTATAAACACCCTCCAAAACACAAGCCGATCAGGGTGATCCACCACGATGCTATATGACGGTTTCCTTCACAAATCTATTGATTTTGGGACATGGCTTAAGCTTGATCATGTGAGCTTTAATCAAGCCTTTGTTGTAGTGGGCAGACCGAGATCTTGTGCACCTGAAAGCTGTACAGCATTCACTCCAAGCTCGGAAGGTCCTCAGCATCTGCGCACAAGCCCGTCTCATCCATTAGGAAAGCATGAACCTTGCCCTTAGCAGCTGCGGTGAACTTCTCAAGGTAGACGTCGGAACTGTCCTCACCCACCTTCTTTGAGCATATCCCTGCTGCTTGGAACGCTGCCATGCAATACTCCCACCAATCCACCTGGTGTTCAATGGCTGACACGGTTGGAGGTACAGACACACACATTTAAAACATATCAAAAATTAGCGGTATATGTTCATGCATGTATTCATTTGTGCTGCATACTTCCCCAACCTCATACGACGGCAAGGTGGTGGCGTGGACAATGTCCAGCACGTAATGTCGATACACATCACGGATTGCATACCACCGTTCCTTGGCTGGAGAAGTCTTAGGCGGTGGTCTCCTTGCAAAAGAAGCTGGTGTTGCGACCTTCTCAGACACTGGCTTTGTGACATCCGCGACCTTCTTAGAACTCGCAGCTTCCGGATCAGTCTCATCAATGTTGAAGGCTGCCTGCAGTGCAGCTTTTCCCGCCTTTGTCAAAGGCATCATAGGCTCGATCTCTTCTTCGTCTTCCTCTTTGGCGTCAGGGGATTGATCGGGTGGGCCCGCTTTGGCCTTTGCTCGGCGCTTGGGCTGCGCTGTCTTTCTTGCTCGTTTCTGCCCAACAGGTTTTTTGTCATCACCACGTTCATCACCCGATTCAATAACTTCAATGTCGTCTGGAGGCATTGCTTTTGCTTTCGCCTTGGCCTTGGCCCTTGTCTTGGCCATTGCTTTTGCCTTCGCTTTTGCCTTCGCTTTTGCTTTTCCCTTGGGCCTGCCTCTTGGTGGTGCCGGCGGCTTCTGGGCCCACTGCGCATGGCGCAAAATCAGAGGCGGATCTTCACCATCTTCCACTTCAACAACCTCTGCCTTTTTCTTTGGCACAACTGCTCCCTGCGGAGCCTCTTCTTTGCACTTCAATCTTTTGGGAGGGCGCTCTTCAGCTTCCCTTTTCTCCTCGCTCTCTTCACCCTTCTCTTCTGGCTTGGGCTCCGCCAGCTCTGCTGTCTTGTGTTCTGCCTTCTCTTCTGTCTTGCATTCTGTCTTCTCTTCTGCCTTCTCTTCTGTCTTG